ATGTCGAGCACAGTTATTTGAAGTCTGGACTATTAATAACGGATAATTTGGACCATCTGCCTATCTTTTCCATTTGCTTCGATCATAAGTGTACCCGCGAACACCAAGAGAACATATTTGTCCGTGACAAAAGCGAGCTAAACATTTCCAACTTCCTGGAGGAATTGGATTGTATTGATTGGCTCAATATAGACGGGTATAATGATCCTAAAATCTGCTACAGCAAATTTCTTGAACGATACACTAAAGCTTACGAAACACATTTTCCTTTGAAGAAACTGAAGCGTCGCCTTCACTTTAGGGTATGACAATATCCCTATGTCTATCATAAAGCGATCTATATGCAGCGTTTCCTCTCCATTAAAACACATTGTAAATCTCTCCATTACTCATGGTATCGTTCCGGATGAATTGAAAATTGCTCGTGTCATACCTATTTTTAAATCAGGTGACAAAGCTCTCTTCAGCAACTACAGACCTATTTCTGTTCTACCGTGCTTTTCAAAGTTTTTGGAACGAATAATTTACAACCGTATTATAAACTATCTCAATGACTCCGATGTCTTATGTGATAATCAATATGGCTTTAGAAAACATCGCTCTCCCAGCCTTGCGCTTATCGATTTGTGTGACAAAATTTCTTCTGCATTTGATAGAAAAGAACACGCCATTAGAGTATTCCTAGATCTTTCGAAAGCATTCGATACGGTAAATCACGACATTCTTTTTGACAAACTCAATCATTATGGGATCCGTGGTCTGGCACTAGAATGGGTCAAAAGTTATTTTTCTGAGAGGACACAATTTGTCGAATTTAATAACGTTAGATCTGCCCCACAGGGGATTCCCTGTGGGGTGCCTCAAGGTTTTATTCTTGGTCCCTTATTTTTTATCCTGTATGTTAATGATTTGAACAATGCTTCCCTGCTTGATGCAATCTTGTTTGCTGATGATACAAACTTATTTATCTCCCATAATGATCCTGTTTACCTAATTAACACATTAAATAGAGAATTAAACAAATTGTCAACCTGGTTTGCAGCAAACCGGCTCTCCTTGAATTTAGCCAAGACTAATTTTATGGTATTCAAGCCTTGGCAAAAGAAGCAATCCTTTGAATTTCAATTTTTCATAAATGAGCAGCCTATTCTTCGTGTTTCTGAGACCATGTTTTTGGGTGGTTAATTAGATGACAATTTGACCTGGAAATCGCATATATCCTTAACAGCAAATAAATTATCCAAATCTATAGGTATTATTCATAAATCTAGGTTTTTTCTCTCTACTCACTCCCTTCGTACTTTATACAATTCTATGATCCTTCCATATTTGTATTATTGCAATTTAGCTTGGGCTGGTACCTATAAGTCAAACCTTCAAAGAATTGTAACCTTACAGAAACGTGCGTTAAGAATAGTAAGCAATTCTACATACATTGCCCATACTGGCCCTACTTTTAAGGAACTTAAACTCTTAAAATTTTATGATATCCATTCGTTTCAATTAGGTACTTTAATGTTTTCATTCGAGAACTCTACACTCCCTTCCAAATTCAATAACTTTTTTTTTACTGAATAGTCAAATCCACAATTATAATACTAGGAATGCTCAGTCCTTCCGTTTGCCACTGTGCAGAACGAACACCAGGAAGTTTTCAATTTACTTTCAACGTCCAAACTTTTATAATTCGCTAAATTCTGACATAACTAGTTCTCTCTCCTCCGCTTCTTTTAAAAGAAAGCTTAAGGAATTTCTTCTCTCTAGGTATTAACTTCTGTAAGGCAGTAATTCTTAACTAACTTACTTAATATGTGTGTGCGTGTGTGTGTGTACGTGTGCGCGGTCAAAGTTAATTACCATAAGTCCATATTATAATTCTAATATAAGATTAGTTATTTTAAGTGAGAAAGCCTGACTTGTTATAAGCCTCGTGGTTTCTTTCCGGTTTTCTCGCCATTTATTTTCTGTCATCAATTTTCTTCATTTTTTTTTCCATCTGTAAATGTCGTATATGGCAAAAGAAATATTGTATTGTATTGTATTGCATAATTCACAAAGCAAGAATATAAATGACTTAGCTTGGTAGGTTATAAAAATTAAAATAAGAAAGTTGTGCAGACTATATCTTGCCTTTCATCCTTCTCCAGATATTTACTCAAGTAATATAGTTGCTATCAGTCTCTCTCACTCTCACTTTCCATTGAGCTTGTGGAGAGATGATAACCTCAGTTTTTTTTTAAATGAAGAAAGGAAAGCCTGCCCTCCTACCACAGATAGTTCTTTTGTGCATCATTAGTACATGCCTAGTCTTATTTGTACACAAAGTTGATTGTTCTAGTTAGGCTAACCTAATAAATTAGTTGTGAACATTTCTTTGTTTGACTCAATAGAAACTTGAAGTTTATTTCTTCTCCTTTTGAGGTGTGCATCAAAATTTTGACAGGCTTGAACTACAGGCCCCGGTTGTTCGAAAGCCGATTAAATTATCCCTCGATTAGAGGTTAATCGACGATTAAATTTCTTATCCCAAGGATAGCTAATCTAGGTTTAAAATAACGTTCCTGAAAGCAGATTTATCCCTTGATTAACTATCCCACGATTAAGCTGAGGTTAAACCAGTCAAACCGGTTATTAAGAGCTACGCGGCTACGCGCGAAAAAAAATTGGAGGGAAAAAATGGCGGAAAGGGAGAGTGTACATGGAAGTGGAAACCAAACGAAAGACAGAAAAAGAAAGCAGAATTTTTCAGTTTATGAGATTGAAGTCATCACCGATAATGTCAAAAAAATCTCGACTTAATCCAATCCAAATTAACGAATGCTGTGACCAAAAAAAAGAAACAAATGCTGTGGGAAGAAATAAGCCAAGCGGTAAATGCGGTCGGAACAGCCAAGCGAACAGTCACGGAGGTAAAAGACAAGTGGAAAAATCTCCATAGCATCGCCAAGAAAGAATTTGCAGAATTCAAGAGGGAGACCAAGATAACTGGAGGTGGTCGGCCTCCAAAGTCGCCAAGTGTTGCCAGCAAAGAGATTATTGAGGTGCTTGAGGTCACGCCGGCGTTCAGCGGTTTGATTGGCTTTGAGACAGGTTTGTAAACAATTCTCTATTGTTTCTAGGTTACCAAAAATTTTAAAATTGTAGACAGTCAACCGGCCATGTTGTTTCGGCGGGGTTTTCAGCTTATCGATCGCTTTCCCGTCTTTGAGCATACGAAATGTTCGGACACAAGGGAGGAAGTTTGCATGTTTTTTTTTTCCAATATCCGTAACTGTATTAATCAAGTTTTACCTTGTTTACTTTATTATCCCGTCACATTTCACGAGTGTACTTCACTAAGCGAAGGCTGCTACGGAGAACTACAAACCGGTTTGCTGCTTTTGCGGCATTTATAGGGTTGCATTCGATTAAACCCTGTTTAAGCTGAATATAGACGAACGCTCATGACGGACTGTCAGTAATTTAGCAGACATATATATAAATTTCAGCTTCACTTGATTAATTCATATGTCGAAGATTGCATAGCTCCGTCATTTTGGAAAGCGATCTGAGGAGTGAGAAAAAACCTTTGATTTCGAAGAATGTCTTGGATACGGTTTATAATTTGGTTAAAATTCGTTTTGCCAAAGACAAAGTGCTCCTATTGTTTCTTTATTTATCTTGTACTAAGGAGTGTTCTTCAAATATTTACGATCGGCTATTTACATGTATAAATAACTAATTTTTATTATTTCGTTTTGACGCAACTTTGTTTATGTTTGTGATTGACGAAATAATTTGTTGTTGTACCTGTTATCATGTCCTATTTTTTCGATCACTAAACTGTGGTACGGTTCTCGTTGTCGATTCGCTCTGATTCCCCTTTATCTGTCTAAAATAAGCTTAACTTTTGGTACATGATTTACAGATTTTATAAGCATTTTCGTGAATGATTTCACTGAGTTAAGTCTACCAGTACACAAATTCATTTTATGAAATTGAATAATTTATTTTTTACATGTTTAAGCCTCAGATTCCTTGCGGGAGAGATGCTCCTTCTGTTATTTCATTTATGTGATGCATAAAACTAAATTCACACTTTTTGAGCCTGAGTGAAACCTTAATTGTGCTTGAAATATTTTGTAGGAGAAGATGCTCATTTACCAACAGAGTCTACGAAAACTGTGTTTGAAGAAGACTGTCTGAGCCTTAATGAAGACATGCATTCTTCACCAGTCAAGGCTGATGAACAGAGGAAGCCTTCAAAAAGGATAAGTAATGGCGATGTTTTAAAAATGCAGTACGAATGCCTGTGTACTCAGAAGGAAATGTTGAATCTTAAAAAACAAAAATTGAAAATGCAAATTCATCTTCTGGGGCAATAGGTCAATGCAAACCAAACCTTCGCAACTGCATTAAATGCAAATTTTGTAGTTCCCAACACCGATTCATTTTAAAGGAGGAATAGTGTAATAAGTCCTCTTAAAGAAATATTTTGGGCAAATGTTGTTCTCATATAATTTATTATAAAACATACACAATGTATTTTGACATAATAAAACAGATTCTTGAGTCAAACTTATTTTAATGTGTTTTTCAACCAGAAACCCCTTAAATGCATATATGAATTTTTTATATTTCATGGGAAGTTAAATTAAGAGCAAAACTGATTGCATAAGGCAGAAATACAAAAATTAAAAATTGTCAGAAAAAGGTGTTGCAGATGTGGTCTCGGATGACCTTGCCATCCTCTGGACCCCGGAAGCAAACAAGATTAGGTTGATCATCAGCCTAAGCATAGCCATCCAAAGGTTCCTTTCTCAGAATTGCAATGTTATGTAAAACTGCACATGCTCCGATAATGATGGACACTTTTTCTGGCTTCATTCTGATCTCAGAATGAAGCAGATGGAACCTTCGCTTCCACCAGCCAAAGGCTTGTTCTATTGCCACTCTTGTTCTTTTGTGGGCACTGTTGAACTCTTGCTGCTTGTCAGTGACTGGATTCAGGTAAGGGGTCATCAGGTACGGCTTGCAAGGGTAACCACTGTCACCCAACAGTAAACCATCTTCCAGGGACTGGTGTGTTGGATATTAAGTTGTTGGCCAATTCTTGAATCCCTAAATATGAAGCTGTCATGGGTGCTGCCTGGCCATCGTGCTACAATGTTGGTAAACATGCCTAAAATAAAACAGCAAAGAAGTTATGTGACCAGTTCTTACCTATGATGTAGAAAATCTCATCTCAGTTTATAACAATAATGTACTGCAAAGAGAAACAACAATAATTGTGTCTATGATGAACTGGGGTAACTGATACAAATATTTAGTTTACTTGGAAAACCTTTTCATTGTTAAATTTGTTTTTTGAAATTTGGGAGACTGCATCATTTTGAAATCCCTGCTGATTGTTGGACTCTGTTGGTCATTAGCTGAGCAATATATTCACAAATATCCCACATTATTTCTTGCTTTTTTCCCTTGTTTTTTACTTTTTTATACTGTCACTAAAATATTGGTGTGATAATTTTGGTAAATTTTCCGTATGTGTGTTTGCAAACCAAACTCCACCTATACCATTTGACTCAAAAAATATTTAAAAAAAAAAATTTTATCACTACTCCCATCTCCTGAATATGTGAAACTGCAATCTAGTAACTCCCAACAATGCAACCCCATAGCAGCTGGTGTGCTAGAAATCTCAATCTAAAACCTTCTATAAGGGGAATACCCCTCCCTGCCAAAGGTTATTTTGCAATTTTTATAGAACACTAATTGTGACATTTGAGTATTTTACCTACCTTTGTGATTGCAAATTGCTTGCACATTTATGGAATGGAACCCTTTACGATTGACAAAATCGTTTTCGTTTTCATGTGGTGCCTGAATCTTGATGTGAGTGCCGTCAACACAGCCAATCACCCCAGGAAATCCCCCCTTGGTAAAAAAACCGCGTTTATTTTGAAGTATCTCCTCTTCGGTCGATGGCCACTTGATGAAGTTTCTTTGTTTCTGTGCAAGGCAAGCGAAACTTGACCGATTATACGGGACACGGATGACTTTGACAGGCCCAGAGTATCTCCAATAACTTGAAGAAAGCTTCCGGAGGCGAAAAAGCGCAACGCTACAAGGACTTGCACAGTTGTCGACAAAGCATAGTTTCGGGATGTATCTCTTTCAAGATCGTCGCAAAGGAGCTCAGATAAAAATTCTATGGACTCTCGGCCAAAACGATATCGACTACTCAATTCTTCATCAGTAAAATTGGACAGGGAAAAGTCGTCTGGTAGCCTAAATGTCCTTTCTTTCCTTCTTGGGGCCGGCATTAAGCCTAATCCGCCAAGTAATAAGTCGGCCATTTTGTTTTGTTTGGGGAAAGTTTTCCCTCGATTAGTGAGTTAATCCACCTCGCTAGGTGTGTTAAAGTTAACCTTTATTTTAACCCTGGGATAGTGCTAATCACGCTTTCAGGAACAGAAACTGATCGTAGGTTAAATTTTATTCTTGGGTTAGGGCGATTTAATCGTGGGTTAGCGCTAATCGGCTTTCGAACAACCGGGGCCAGGTTTATAAGATGTGTGTGCATGTGTGTGTGTGTTTTCAACATATAAAAATGCTAAAAAGGTTGCTTAGCTTTTTTCATTAGTACACATTTCTTTTTCTAAGAATCTTGTTTATTTGGCCTATGCTGAGTTCTAATTTTTCAAACAAATTTTACATTCTTTTGAATATTCTTAGATCTCCTAGTATCAGTTAATATTCATGTAATTACAATAATTAAATCAAATCTTGCAGATGTTTAGTAAATTTTTCCACTGATCCTACTGACATTTCATCATGCGTAGGGATCAGTATTGGCTAAAGAAGTATAGTTAAATTAAATATTTGTGCATAGCATATGCATCAAATATTCGTAATAAAATATTGCATCCTTCTTAAAACTAGTTTATCAGAATAAGAATGAGTTACCAGGCACAGGTATTGCTTTCATGATTATAGTTTCCTGATTTAAAAAGAGTCACTGCCTACTAAAATCCTCAGTTCTTCTACCTTGACAGCTCAACCTTATCAAAACATTGGCAACAGGAGCGATTAGCGAATTAACAATACAGACAAGATAGCCTATTCCCACATACACCCTCCTCAATCCTGATTACTTACTATGGACATGAAATAATAAATAGTCAATGAAAACTTTTTACTTGTCATATTTATTGTAGTGTTCCATGTTAACATGTTGCAATAACTCTACCTTCCGCTAAATTGAACTACTTGCCAACATGAGAAAATACCATCAAAAACTTTTCAACCCATTTAATATAGCCAATAACAACATCAACTCAACTTTAAAACTAAAGAGAAAACTTAATTGATGTTTGGAATTGATTGCTGTGATGTAAAAATGAAGGTATTATCTCAAGTTTTCCACAAACGTCTTTATGATCGAATCCTAAGCCTCTCTTCGCCATCAAAATTTAATCATGACATTTTAGCTCTAGCTTGTCTTCTTTTAAAGCAAACTTTTGTAGTGCAAGAAACATGTTAGACAAATTTCGTACTTCATTAGCTAGATTTGCTAAGATCATGTGCAGTTGGCTTAAAGAAACCTACATTATAAGTAGTTACTGTAGAGGTTACCGAATCAATTAACAGAAAGAATCTCAAATAGACGCCGTATATTCCAGCCAGAGGACAATCATGAAAGAATAATAGCCAAAAGAGGAAAATTTTTAAGAAATAACAGGTTCAAGCACGAGTTGAAAATGACTTTTCTTTTCAATTTTTACGCGAAACAGAGGAGGTTGAAACGTTAGGGAAAAAATGGTGGGGCAAGCAGTCATACCTGGCACCTTTAAGAGATATAAGAGAAGCCCATACGATTTTGGCGTCTTGATTTACTAATTCACTGTTATCACGTGTATACTCTTCAATCGACTGCTGATGTCTAAACTCGAAGTAGTTTACTTCGTTTCTTTCCATCGTTTCTTTCAATATTGGCTCAATAAACCAAAATTATCAGTCACGCTCAAAAGAATATAATTTCAATTGATACTGAGATCTCTATCTTCGAAAATTTGCTCAAAACATCAGGAACAACAAGGAAGGCCCTTAGCGTTGTATCGCAAGTTGTGAGAAGGTCGTCCCCAGGTTCCAGACCTCGCCAATTCTTCCCTTCCCTCCCCACCTCCCGAACTGGTCTCTTAATCGCCCCTTGAAGAAACTCTTCTATAGCCAGTGCTGAAGGGTTTTATTACAGTTTTTATCATAATGAGGAGCTATAAAATAAACTAACAAGAACTCCGCTTTTAGGCTTGGCTAAATACATATATTACACGGACATACGGTCCATATCCGAGGGGTTGCACTTGAAACAGGAAAAATCTTTATAATGACTACTAGACTTATTATAAGGGTTTTTTTGTTGTTGCGAAAACTAAGTCATATTTATTGTACCAAGATGTATCCCATGGCTTTGATGTATTTGTCTCCATTATCTGTATGATATTTGGCCTCGTTACCACACGTGTTTGAATTATTAGGGTTCCCTCCTGTGCCAAATCCGATCCTTGAGTTGCATGTGGAACACGCTTTCTCGTTGTTGCTAACAATACCAATTCTGGCTTTAGAATATCCACTCGAACTACAAACGACATTGAACCCTTCTTTGTTGCAGTTGTACTGTAATGAGCCTTGGGAACCAATCAACTCCTTCCACTTCTCACGACCCAGTGAGGTGGCGCGGTATTGGCCATCAGCAATCAGTGAGCGCAGAGAGTCAGCTTGCTTGTGGATGACAATGAACCTGAGCTGTTGGTCGATCTTCATACCGAGACAGATCTTGGAGAAGGATGTGTTCCAGTAGGTGGGTAGCTTTGATTCCTGTCCGTCAAACCCAGTCTCTCCTCCGGGAAGATTGTATCCTTGATCATTTATCCAGTAATGCTCATCATAATGGAAGGTGGTCTGAAATATAGGAGCAATTCAATTTTTTTATTTACTCCGAATTAATGGATATTTGCTGTCGAAGTCCTGTCGTGTATCTGCATTTATTGATCCATTACTCATTTGTTTTACCGTTGAATTGACCTTGGTGTTTACAGCATCGTGTCGTGAAGACTAAATTAATTTTTTTCCAACACGGACCCCGCGCCGTAGATCAGTGCATAACAAACCTATCTAATTATAAGGCGTTCTGATGTGTTTTCAATTGCCCACCAATCAAGATGCATTGATATGATAATAACTTGTGAAGTGAATGAACGATGATAGACGTTGCTATTCCTTAAAAAAAATTCTTATCTCTTTTTAGATATAACAAAAACAAATTGTAGTTGGTTTATGTCACGATAAAAGTAACCTGATCCCCGATAAGACTCTGTGATATTCCTATGATCCATGATTCCTCCTCATTAGCAGGCTGGTTGGCCCTAAATGTTCTATCCTCCAAGAATCCTCCTGCATCTATCCCCCTCCCCCTGCTGTGTTGGGGATGAGCCATGACAGCTCTTTAATCAGTGTGATATCTATATATCCATTAACTAGCGTGGAACTTCAACTTAGATAAGATATATTCTTTGTTCCGAACAGCTTTTAACCGAATTATAATCTTAATGGTGTGTATTTCTTAAAAAGCTGTTTCATGATATTCGAGACAAATATGCTAGAATATATTTATAAATTCTTTTTGATTCTTTTATAGTCATTACACACAGTAAGTGTTAAACGAAGTATGTATTACCTTCTTGATGAAAGACAACTGAAGGCATACATATGAAACACGCACGTTTTTAACTTGCAACGTTTTGAAAGAGGGCGGGTTTATACAGGTAATTAATTATTTAATAAAATTATGCACCTCTCTGCCGTCAATCTTCATGACTGGCGTCCATCCCCCATCTCCACACCCAAAATTTCCCATGTGACAGAAAACGGACAATGGTTGGGAGTCAACCAAAAGGGTAACCACACCACTCACATTGGATCTTTTGAATCAAATTGGAAAAAAAAAATTTAACTAGCAATGAAAGCAATGATTGTGAAATAAAACGAGCTTATAAAAATAATTATCATAGCTACAACGGTGGCAATGAAAATGACAATGGCAAAGATACTGAGTGGCTATGATAATGATTCAACAAATAAGCAAGTGAAAAGTTGATCCTTCAGTAAAAGACGACGTCAAAAACTACAGAATATAAACAACAGTCTTTGTAGCAACAAGACTCGGTTATTTATCCTGGAATCCTTTTATAAGGACGGGGACACACTCCACCAATGTGAATCGAATTTAAACGGACTTTCTTCGCGAATGGAAGGTGGCTTGAAAATTGGGGTGTATTCAGTGACGTGATGGCCTTAAACTAATTGCAGGCAAGCGGAATATTTACATAAATAATAACCGAGTATCAATTCTACTTACATATCCTTGTCATGAATTTCTTTACACGAAGTAGCTTCTGGAGGTAGTTTAAAAATACCCTTGATTAGAATTATAAAATTATATTGTCTCTTTAATGTTGTAGTCTTTTTTATTATTATTATATTTCAGCTTTCTGGCTAAGCTACAACATTTTCTTTTCTTTTTTGGGTGGCATGCATGCCTTACTTCAAATCCTTGAAAAGAAGAGAGGTCGGTAGAGGGTATCATTATCATTGATAACAATTATTTTCATCCAGTCTTTAAAGTTGGAAGCTAACTGATGGCTCTGCAAGTAACTAATTCATTTGTGTTTAAAGAATGATTAATCATTCTGCTCTTTTTCATGCCCAAATTTCATGGTATGAACCCACGAATTACTCTTCTCTCTTATCATGAGGGTTGTCTGATTTTATATATTTGTGAATTTTTGCGCTGTTTGCTGTGTGCTTTGCGTTACACGTTATGGTTACTGCAGTGCGTTGACATTTTCATCAGAAAGTTCTCTTATAGGAATCCTCTCGGCTAAATGTGTACAAAAGTTAACGCTTGCTTGTACCTTTGCATTCTCGGCCATTCCCAATGAATCCGGGCCTGCATGCGCAGTAATAAGACCCTTTGGTATTGTTGCAAAAGGCATGGGGACTGCAATTGTGAATCCCTTTGGCACACTCATCGATGTCTGAAGACAACAAAAGAAACAGCAAGCGAAGAAAACAAACAGATGGAGTAGTGGGTCCGCTGGAATTGCAAGTAATCATTTGCTTTTCTTTTAAATCTCGTCAATACTTAATCATATGTATTCGTATGTAGGTTCATTGTAGTTATATTTTGATTTACTTATACACAATTAGAATTGCTTTTCAAATCTTAGACGCCAGTTTCAGATTTAAGAAAAAAGGCAATTAAGTTTTCTTTCCTCTGTGTGTCTCTCAACTTCGTTTTTTTTTTGTTTCTTAGAAATGACGATGTAAATGACACATGTTCATGTAGTTAGTGTACGACTTGAATGCTTCTTAATAATTGAATTGAAGATCTCACTTGAACTATGTAAAGGATTTTTTGTTTACCTGTTTGGCACCTCGGACCTTTGTATCCAGCAGGACATAGACACTGATAAAGTTTGTCTGCAAAACTGCTTCGACAAGTGGTGTTGTTCGCGCAAGGATTTTCAGCACATATGTTCTTCTGAAGAAAGAGAGAGATAAAAAAGAACTTTCACGCTAAATATGACACGACTTGGCCTAAACAGCGTACTATGTAAGTGTGTTGAAAAGTCACACATGAGCTGCTTTTGCAATATTCTCTTAAGAGAAACTTATACAATAGCCATTCCATTCAAAGATCGTTTTTCTGTGGAGTTAGGTCGTGGTTGGCACACCTAAGAATATGAAGGGATAAACAAATGAAATGAGTGAAAAGAGAAGTAAGCGAATTAACGAGAGAGCAAGTGAAATGATAATCGGAAAAAGCACATCTCATTCAGTCTTGAAGGAAGACAAACGTTCACTCCGGAAGAAGGAGTGGGTAACTATTTTAATCCCAAGAGAAGTTACTGATCATTCATCTTGGATGACGCTTTCTTAATTATGGCTGCAATTAATATATTATGAAGTGTTTCCCCGCACAGGCTGCTTTAAAATATGAAAAAACACAGAAGAGAGTCCTTACCACGATGTGATAATGATATGAGCTTTCGTTTTGTCTGAATTCCTTGGGGTTGCTGTACTTATCAGATGACAATAACTCGCACCACAGTCCTATCTCGAGGACCAAGTTTACAGAAACACAGGAAGGATGTTGAAGGCATCTCATGGTACACTCCAAGTCGTCGTGCACCGAGAAAATTCCAACTCGAGGCACATTCAAATAACGGAACTCATCTATAGAAAACAGACCCTGTCTAACGTCTGTTACTCGGTGGTCCGCAGCGTTCTTTTCTGATGATCGGGTCAATGGAGCATTTTCAGCGAATAGCTAAATACATCTGTTACAGTTTTTTATAAGGTACTTTTTTTTTATAATTTAGCAATTTTAGTTTGTTCCGTTCTTTATTTAATCAAAACTCTTCCCAAAAACTGCAAGGGTAATGCATATTAAAGAAGTTAGCAAATATCACACTTTTTTCTTAAATGCAAGTTTGATCTTAGGGGCGTAGATATAAATGTAATCCTATCTTTTCAGTCTTTAATACAGACGCTCCCATGAGCCACGTATAGTGTGGAGAAGATCAAAAATTAAAAATTGACACTCTGGCCTTTACATACATTCCGCGTAGCTTACAGAACGCAATGAATTGGCCCTCCTTTATGGAAATTTGTTGCCATCATTAATCATTTTATGCCGTTATGGACAACGACATTCTCCAGTGACATACTAAACATTTCCGTGGACCATCAAAACATAGTAAAACAATATCCGGCTTGATGTATATCGTGACGTGATTATGCTAATTTGTTTCCATCTTTTGCTGGTATAAAAAGTGAAACCAAACACCAGCTAATGCAACGAATTAGAATCTAAAGTTATGAAATGAATTGGAGAATTTTACATTTTACTAATAATTTCATCTCTCGAGATGTTTACCCGTTTCATGGAAGGCAAATATTACAGTTGCCGCGGGAGATGGTTGCAAATATTGTAATGGATTGCAAGCAATTACAGACTATCGAGATTGTTGCGTAGACTATCCTAAAAGGTGTTTAGTGAACGGCATGAGTCTCTTAGCCGAGACGAAACACTAAGTTTATATTCAAAACAGAAGAATATGGAAAGCTTATAGTTTTAGAAATTCTGTTGGTCAGCATGTCATGTGATCACGTCGCGTGTAATAAACAAACCCAACTGTAGATAGAAATATGAGAGATGGTAAGATTTTTCTCTCTCTAAACCAAACTGTCTTCAACAAAACTCTTTTTACTGGATAACAGTCGAACTAACGCTTGTGTGAAAGTCTATCCTGGTGTTGTTTACCTAGCTTAAAAGATAGGAGTCCGATTAAAGAAAGTGTCAATTAACTAACACTATAATGATTGGAAGATATTTCATTCCTCATGTTGTGTTTTTCTGACAGCTAATTATAATTCTAAATTAACATCTCACTATGTTATTTAAATAGGCGAGCTTGAATTTGACAGTTCGGCTTTCCTCTTTCGCCTAACTGATATAAACTGTAGACTTTCTTAAGAGAATCTTTTAAAAGTACAATTTTAACGGCTAAGCTGAGAATCGGAATCTCCGAGGAAAACAAAACAGTTGAAAGTGGCAATTTGTGGACAGCTTGCGTCTGCAAAGGAATATGCATATGATGCAATGGCGGCCGAACGAATTTTGGGAAGCTCTCTAAAACTTTTAGCTTTTCTGTTCACAGTTGTATTATGGCTTATCTAAAGAGATTACGAGAATAAGAAAGGATTGAACAAATTGAAACAACGACCAGAATGGTGAAGAAAAGTAACATTCAGCAGACAGTGCAAACAAAGTTTGATACAAAACAGGTGCCCCATGAAAGTGCGTGGAAATGCGACTTACAAATATGTTCTTCCCAAACCGCGATGCTACGGAGATTTTTCGGTGAAATTTTCATACAATATGACTTATATGAGATTACAGAAACTGATTGAAATTTACTTTACATTCAAACGGTATAGGTGATTGTGTGAAGATAAAAAATGGGTTTTATGTACAAGATATCTAGTCACTTGGAGATGTAATCGTTTTGGAATAAATTTAGATATAGCATGGATATCATAAATCTTCGTAATAACGTTTGGGGGAAAACAGCAAATGGAAAAACGTTGTGCGCGTTATTAGTTTTCATTTCTATTCACAACATTTTATTTCATACGACAATGTTAGAACTAATTTTTTTAACCAGTCCGATGCTTACATCGTATTTCTTTTGCTGTTTTTTCATAATAATTTTGAAGCATATCTTGAGAAATACAAATTTGACCATTGTGTAATTTCTGTGGGTACTCAAGATCAACTTCTTCTCTGTATTCAGCTAAATTGACTTTATCGATAGCTTTTTCACTCAACCCTTTAAAACCACCAGTTGAAAGATATTGACTCATAGCTCAATTATATAGCTTATTAGAATTGAGATACATAATATGTAGGTTTAGCCAAGCCTTAAAAGCGGAGCTCTTGCTAGTTTATTTTCCGGCCCTTTACTATAATAAAAACTGCAATAAAACTCTTCAGCACTGACTGTAGAAGAGTTAATTCAAGGGAATTTAGGGACCAGTCCGGGGTTAGAAGGGGAAGAACTGAAATCACCAAAAAAGAGTATGTCAACACGGCAAAAATTCTCTATTGTTCTTAAATTGAAAATTATTTCATTTCTGTTTGCTTGTTTTTAGGGCTTGTTTTAAAGGCGGGTATCTTCGGAAAGACGGCAATCTCTGAACAGCTAGTGGAGGAAGACGACGAAGGAGGTTCAAATTCATCGGCAGAAGTTTTGTCATCGTGTTTCGCTTTGTTGAATTCTTACTTAATTTATGCACATTCGTACACGAAAATGTCATATATCTTCAAAATACTATCTGTGCGTTGATGACTGAATATTTTAACGACAATTCTCCAATTAATATAGGTGAATAAAGCTAATTTTCTGACTAAATGACGAATTCTTATTATTAAATAAAACGTTTCTCAAAAAAAGAAACCAATACTCGAACCAAAAGGTAAACATAAATTGGATGTAAGTCTTACTGAAACTAACCTTGTGATCTGACAGCCCTTTGTATCATAAAGCAGAGCTCCAATAAGAGAAGGGAGACAGAAACAGAATACATGATACAGAAAACGATTAGAAAAGTTCTGGTCAAGAAACGAATTCTTTACTTAATATTACTTATCATGACAGGGGAAGTTTAAAACAATGGACATTAGGCTGTCGCCGGTTTAACCAATAGCAGTCAAATTATTTCGCATGTCAGCTGTTGTGCCTTAGTTTCTACCAGTAAAAATGTTTGTTTAGAATGCTGCTCGGTTCAGCAATAATTTACCTGTTAATTGCCATAATTAAGTTTCGTCACATCATTTTGTGGCCTGGCATGCTATCATGACAAAATTCATACATAGCAGTTATAATTATGCAGCAGTGTTACACGTCTGCAAATTCACCTCCACGAAATCTTTCATATCCATACTGTCGTCCAATTTTAGGAATGATAAATTAAATTTGTTAAATGATAAGCACACTGATATTTAAACCGTTTGTGCTGAATAAGGATAAATTTGACCTGAAAGAATTGTTTTAGGTCACTAACCTTCCTACAATTTTATATTCATAACAAAATCAATAAGCCGTTTAGACCGGTAGGGCTCGCAAAAGTTCTATGTTATAACGTAGTTGATTAAATTGGTTTTTCGTTGAAAATGCGTGCGTTAACTAAATGGATAGATGTAAACCTAGTTTGTGAAAATGAAGAATTCATTTGATGGTTTCCTAGGTTATCGTTTTTACATATGCACAACAGCTGGCATTGTGAAACTTTGCCAAATTATCATGCAACCACTGTTTATTTTGGTGGTGGTAAGAACTTCCTGTGTGTCATGATATTCGTGATGGATAAGTTTTTATCATCATGCGGCCTTGTTACAAGCTAAGTCAACCAATTTACCTCCGCGACACCTTTCATATCCATATTTCTGTGAATATTTCCGTCTTCCTTTTTTGTTTGCTGATAGACATGTACAACAGCTGAGATTGTGATACTTTGTTGAATTACGTTAACAATGTTCATTTTGGTTCTCTGGTAAGAACTTCCTGTGAATCATGTTCCTTCTCCATGATTTACTGCTCCCGTCTGGCTATAAAAGCAATTGGAGGCAATGAATCAGCAGAAATTCATTTTCACAAGCTCAAATTAGCTTTGATTTATACACAAGTTTAAAACTTTTCGCTTGATATACACTGATACACGGTCTGACTTATTATCTTCATTATCAAAAACTGGAATGATGTTGTCCTATAAATTGCTGACTTTTTCTTGTAATGATAATTTTTAGTCTCAGGAGGGAGAAGTCCAACTTCGTAAGCCCTAAGCTTTTTTTTTTTATCAATTTAATTGTCAAAACAAGAACCTCTTTCGGACTCTACAAGCAAACGTTCACTTATCGATAAGAAGCTCTTGAGAACGAATTTGATGAAGTAAGTTCATTATATTCCGATTCTGTAACGAGTAGGAAGATAAAAAAAGAAATAAAAAGGTGGGTTTTCAATGAGGAGAATCAGTTGACTTTTCTTTCTATTAGTGGAAGTCTTTAGGCATACCTTCAATGTATTTACATTACTTCGTGTTTACCCTCTAAAAATATAAATGTTTCAAAATAATGTGCTCATGTTTCTTAATTTGTTTTGACCACGAGTTAAAGGCAAATAGAGCGACAAACCTGTCTCCTTGAACCTGTATTGTTGCTATGTTGTTAGAAAAACAAACACAGTTTGATTACAGTTCATTGGGCATTTTTGAACATCGATTTCAATGAAACAAAAAGAGAAGGGTAGAAGCTATTATCCATCAAAAAGAATAAATTTTTCCAAATTAAGAAACCATTTGAACCCTAACAAACTTTGAATCCAGACTCATCTGACCTCAGTCTCTCGCAACCATCGATTTCCAGTAAAAGGACGATTTTTTTAAGTTCAGGGTGAAATTGATGTAGATAGTCTTTAAAATTCTGGTGCAAATCCTAGTTGCCATCCTAGTCACTACCTTTTATTAATATCATTACCTGCAATGAACAAAATCAAAAAATGCATCAACATTTTGAAGAAAAGAATATTTTTAGCTATTCGTAGAAAT